GGAGGGAGGGAGGGAGGGAGGGAGGGAGGGAGGAAGGAAGGAAGGAAGGAAGGAAGGAAGGAAGGAAGGGGTCCGGACGCGGTGGCTCACGCCTGTAATCCTAGCACTTTGGGAGGCTGAGGTGAAAGGATCCCGAGGTCAGGGGTTCGGGACCAGCCTGACCAACAAGTTGAAGCCCCGTCTCTCCTGGGAAAAAAAGAAAGAAAGAAAGAAAAGAAACTTGTCTCATAACAGAAATTCTGAAAGACACAGGCAGTTCCTAGTCCCAGAAAATCCAAAGACCTGGCTGACTTTCTTTCCTCTGCACTCACCCTACACTCACCTGCTGAGGGAACTTGGGCAAGTCTTAGCCTCTTTGGACACATAGAGTCAATGCATTGGCATTGCAGGATGCCTTTCCAACCTGCGTGCTTGCAGATTCTAATGAACGTGTCTCCAGAAAGCTCAATAGTCCAGGCTTGAAAAAGCACTGGTTTGTCCTCCTTTCTGGGCCCCTGGAGGAGAGGAAGGTAACAGCCTGGGGTCCATTCTGGGACTCCTTAAAAGCACTCGTGGCTTGAGTCTCAGGAAAGTGAACTCAGAGGGAATTGCAATCTTCGCAAACACCTATACAATAGCACTTCTTGTATGCCAGGAGCTGTTCTCAGTGCTTTACACATATTAACAGAAAACAGTTCTATGAAGTAGGTACTGTTCATTTCCCTGTGTTATAGATGAGGAAGCTGAGGCACAGAGAGATTCAACAACTTGCCCAGTGTCATTCATCAATGGCAGGGCAGCATTGAGACCTCAGTAAATCTGGCTCCAGAGTTTGTACTCTTAGCCAAACATCTGAGGATGAAGAGAGGAGATGAGGCTGTTTAGAATTCATGGGAAGAGCACGCAGATCCAGTTCTGCTTTTGTTGGTATTCTGAATGCAAGGCAGGAGTCACATGTTTGCAATGGATCAAGACTTTAGAGCAGGGTAGCTAGGAATGGGTGGACCTGTGTGCCAGTGACCTGGAAAAATATGACGGAGTGAAGGAGTACCCTCTTTAGGACATAGTTGGAATAGAAACAAAGTTTTCCTTTTCTAGGTTGACAATCACTTACCTGACACCTGCTCCCAAAACTAATCCTATTGATGAAGGATCTTCTTTCTGAGCAGTAAACCTGTTTAATTAAACTTATGCAAATAAGCTTAATTGCTTCTCAGTGGCTGTTGTCCAGAAGCACCTAGGGATTCCTTCCCTTAGACATTTTCAGCACCTAGATGAACCACAAAGTTGGAGGCCATTCATCTAGACATGTGTTGTGTGCCTGTGGAGTCCTGGGCCCTGAGTTGTAGATTGCAAGGAAGAGCAAGGTGTGACCCCTGCTGTCAACTTACTTTCTTAGGGCAACGGACACTTAAACAACCAAGAATAACAAAGGGAGGTGAGTGCCCTGCTAGCCTCATGAACAGAGTGCCACTAGAACACGGAGTCACCTGTGTTCCAGGAGCTGAGGGGTCTAATAAGTGGTGCTTTAGTACACAGGTTACCCTGATTTGCAGAGGAAATGGAGATGGGGAGGAACTTATTGCTTTCTCCCATGGGGGTGAAAAATAAAACCACTTGATGCTGTCTCCAACGGTGGCTCCAGCTTTACTCAGTCTCTCACTCTGGATTTGCCAGGACAGGTGGGGATAGAGATAATCTGTCCCACTGCGGCGCCCAAGAGGGGTCCCGGTTTCCTCTGAATAAGAGGGCTCCCGGCTTCCGTGCGCTCTGGTCCCTTATCCCAGACCTAGGACTCCAGAGCCAGACCTCCTGTAGGCACCGCTGGGGACCAGGCCAAACCAAACACCCCAGGAGAACAGCCCGGAGGACATTCTGTGCTCAACTGCCTCCTCCCAACTTCCAGGCCCCACTTGTTCTCCCTGGGAGCCCAGGCACCCTAGTCTGGGCATTCGGGCGTTGGCTGTAATGCCTAAAATCTGTCGCAAGGTGGCAACATTGTGGCGAGAAATAGACTTTTTTTAAATCCCGGGTTTTTTTTTTAAAGCATATTTTCCCTATTAATGTTTCATTTAACTTAATTAGAATCTGGTAAACTAATTAAAGTAGCTACGAGCCCCGCAATCAGCAATACTTCGTATAATTATTGATAATTACATCCATACCAATCGTTTGGTTATTAACATTTTGGGGGGAACAAACCACTTCTAAAGGGACGCGAAGCCCAGGAGGGTTTTTGCGACTGAGCTTTCTGGGTCGGAGCCGCCTACGACTCCAGTCCTCAGAGATTCCGGCCCAAATGAGGCGTCCCTTCCGGAAGGCCCCAGCCGCCTAGGAGTTTTTCCACTTTGGGGGGAATTGGGAAGGAAGGTTGGGAAGGAGCATTTGCCAGGCTCCTCTGTCGGGCCGCAGCCAGGGAACTTCCTGCCTGGGTGGTAATAGTTATGCCCATTTTACAGGGAAGAAAAGTGCGGCTTCCAAAGGTGCAATCCGCGGTGGGGAAAGGCGCCGGCAAACTCCCACACCAGCACTGTCCCGCCCTGTCGCAGTTCCACGGGCCCTGGCGCGCCCTGGGGTCTCCAGTCTCTTCCTCTCTGGACCTCAGTTTCGCCATGGGTCCAGCGGAGAACGGATCTGGTGGGTCCCATGCATATGAAACGTTCCCGCTCCTTAGAGGGACCCTGCCTAGGGATGGTATGTCCGGAGGCGTTGCCTCGCGGTGGGCCGGGCGCCCTCAACATTGTTACCTCCTTCGTGTCCTCTCTGGGCTTAGCCGTTGGAACATTCTGGGACGCCAAGCCTCCGACCCCCAGCGCAAAGGACTCTAGGGATTGGCTTCCCGGCTGTACCGCGCAGCTGGACTCCCCGTCTGCGCAGCTTCGGGGAGGCCCAGAGCGCGCCCCTATTCGCCGGCTCTGTCCGAAGCCCACCAAGACAACCCGCCACGAAACTTCCCGGTCCCTGCAGCCCAGGGCTCCTGGTCCCGAGCCGCTCGCCGGTGGCACGGGGCCTGCCGTCCGCTTTCTACGAGCCGCATGGACGGAGGCCTGCGTGTTATTTCACAGAGGCCGAAACAGAGACCCAGGAAAGATAAAAGAAGGGCGCAACCCCGGACCCCCACTAGCCAGCCGAGGGCGAGAAATGGAAGCCAAGGCTGAATGATTCCCAGTGCCGTGCGCTCTCTCCCACTCCATCCACACTCTCCTCCCCGCAAAAAGAGTGTTCTGCAGTTTGCAACATCGTCTCTAGCCCAAGCGGGAGGTGCGCTGTGGAAACTGAGGCCGCTGGGAGGCCTTGCCAACCGCGACCCGGATGTCGGACGCCCCAGCGGAGGCCTGGCAAGTCCTTAGCCCTTCTCGGACTAAAATGGACCGAACAGAAAATGCGGACCGGGGTCCCTCCTTTCGGGTAGCGGCAGGGCAGACGGGAGGCCGCCTGTGACCGAGCTCTCCAAGTCCCGCCTTCCTTTCCAGGCCTGCCGGGCGTAGACCCACCTTACGCGCTGCGACCTCCACCCCGCCCCAGCGCCCCCAGGCCGGGCCGGCGGTGCCCGCGCCATTTAAAGGGACAATTCTGGTTGAACCTAGGATTCCCGGCAGGGAGCCCTGTCTGTGAGCGCCCCGGAAGTAACTTCCCCGATGTGGCAGGCGTGGAAATGGGCATGGATGAACCTTCGGCGCCTTCGAGCGCTTGAAGAAAGGGCCGGGGACCTCTGCTCTAAGGACCATGACATAATGCCCCTCCTCCATCACGGGCCCAAGGGAGGGTCCTAAACGCGGCGAGGGAGTGCTCTGTGGGGGAAAATTGAGTGTGTCTGGAGGGGACAGTGGAGAGGTTGAGTGCTCGCTGCTGCCCACCTGAGCAGGCCCGATTCTGACCCCGGGCGCCCCAGAACCCGCCAGGCTGCTCCCACCCCCACCTGTTGCACAGTGCTCCGCCCGCCCCTCTCCGCCGATGCACTCCCATCTCCGTAGCCCCAGAAGTGACATCTTTTTTTTTATTGTAATTATTAAAAACGAAAGTCAAGGGTATAGGGTGGTCTCCCCAAACAGGCTCCAGGTGGTTGCCATCTCGTGAGTCAGTTGTCGCCCTTTTAAAGTGCTGTTACATCAAGAGGTTATAACAAAAAAATAGACAAAGCAAAATCCAAAGGGGAATGCAAAACGGGACTGGAAGTGGGTCCAGGAGAAGGAAGCAAAAATAACTTACAGCATAAATAAATTAAAGTGAACCTAATACTGAACCGAGAGACTCACAGTACATTTATATCCATTGCACATAGCCACTTTGTCATTAGGAACAGGAGTTTCAGAAGTGGACGGGACGGGGAGTGCGGGGCAGGCGCCAGTGAAGTTGCTACATTGTATTCACAATCCGGTTCAAGGCTATACAAAGGGAGGGGGCTCTCTCCCCTCCCGCCCCCGTCTGTCCAGTTTTAACCCCTTGAGGTCCGATGCCCTAGAGTTCAAACGGGGTAGGGGGATTTGAGGTGCGAGGCGGTATTTACACTTGGAAACCAAGCCGGCGCCCTGGACTGGGACGCCCGGGAGGGGGCGGGCAAGGTCCGGGAGCCCGGGAGGAAGGCGGGCGGACGGGCGGCTGTATTTACATCGGTCGGGTCCGAATGGCTTGTTCCTCGCTCAGGGCCGCCGCGGCAGCGGGTATTTACAAGGAGCAGCATGGCTTGAGGGCGCAGGGGTGCGGCCAGGCCGGCCCTAGGGCAACAGCGGGGGCTTGAAGGAGCAGTTGCCAGTGCAGTGGCGGGGCGTCAGCATCTTGCAGGAGAAGTGGTGCAGGGCGTCGTGGGCTTCTGGGGAGAGAGTCGCGAGGGTCACTCTGGGCTCCTCTCCTGACTGACCTCACCGCGCAGTCCACCCTTTCCCCTCCCCGACCTTACCCAACCCTTTGGGGTCAGGGAATCTCAACGCAGCGGATCAGGAGAAGGCAGGAAGGTAGGACAAAGGCTGGTGATTTAGAACCACTGCTCTGGTTCAGTAGCCCCATTTTACAGAAGAGGAAACTGAGGCACAGTAAGAGAGGGGTCAGCCTGCTCAAAGCCAGAATTGGTACTAGAAGGCAGATTTTCTGGCGCCCAAAGCCCAAGTGGCTTTCTTTACCCCACCATCGTAGAATAATCTTCCCGTTAAAATCAGTTTCCACTTTTCTCCCTCTCAGATTCTGATCCATGTGGATCGTGGCCTTCCTCACTAGTCCCACTATTCATTCATTCACTCGACAGCACGGCCGGCACCCAGCACCCCTCCTATTTTTTGTTTCCTGGCTTCCGCACCTTTCAATTTCTGCTGGATGGCGTAGCGCGCCTTCCGCTCCTGGTCGAGTTCGTTACACAGGGTATCTGGAAGACAAGAGGAGGGGCCAGTCAGGAAACGCAGACCACCCTCCGAAAGGCCGGGGTCACAGCCCAAGCTTCCTCCTCTCCCCAGGGCGCAGCTCCGCGCAGACACCACTCCAGGGACGGGGGAGGGGGTACCGGAGCTCCTAACTGCAGACTGGCGGAGGAAGGAAATGGCCTGGGATGGCGCTTAGAGGCAGACGGATCTAACCAAAATTAAAGCAAACTTAGGCATTACTTCCCAGGTAATTTTACGCCTCGATTTTTAATTTAGAAACCATGGAAATTGCCGCGATAAGAAGTTCAATCACTCCATGTAATGATGCCTGCAAGCCGTTTGCTGGGCTCGCTTGCCATTCTGAGGCTAATCAGAGTATACAAAGGATATTAAATAAAAAAAATAATTGTTAAATTACCTTCAATTTAAATCCAAATGACTGAGCCAACATTGCGGCTCCTGCCAGACGAGAGGCAGTTACGGCCCGTGCACGCGCTCACCTGACTCCCGTCTTACCTCTGACAATTTGCAGCTGTTGCACCATTTCTTCTCGATAAGCCAATTCCCTCTTCATTTGATCCTGAAAATTATCTGTGCAAATTGATTAAGTGAGAGCTGTTACGCACAGCCCCCTCCCCCAGCTCCACTTCCTCACTCCCTGCCCCCCTCCCCCCGCTTTCACCCCTACCCCCACTCCCACCCAGCCATTCGCCGACAACCCTGGAAAAGGACAGTTTCTTGGCTCCTGCAGGGCGCCTAGTGCCAGTTGCCTGGCACCTGGCTTTCGGAGTAGGTCGGGGCACCCTGGTGGAAGGCTCGGTGACGAGGTGGGATGAGGCAGGATGGCAGTGGGTACCTTTGAGACTCTGAAATTCCCGTTCCAGCTTCTTGCGGAGCTCCATTTGTTCCAGGAGCAGTTTTTGCAATTCGTCTGGGAAAGGGGAAAAGTGGGAGGTAAAGCAGGGTTATTTGGAGCTCAGGGGACCTAGAAAGCACCCAGGTTCGGCCTTGGCCAACAACCCTGAGAGGAGAGTTGAGGAGGATGACCAGTAGGTGGAGGCCCTCCACTCTCTGGCTTTACCAACTGCATTCAAAGGATTTGGGTGAAGAAACTGGGCTGTGGGATAGGATGCCCAGGAGAATAAATTCAGGATGGTGGAATCTAAGCCCTGGCTCCGGGAACTATGCAGCTGGGCAACTGCTTTAACTTGTTCCTAACTCCCTAATCTAAGAAGCTGGCCCACAGAAACTTGATTTCCCACTTCAAGTGACAGACCCTCCCCCACCCCCACCCTTTCCATATAAATCAGGGAGGCTTTGGTCAGAGCCTTGGACACCTTTCCCAGAAAAATACACATACAACAGTTTGCCTACAATTTCAGGAGGTCTGAAGACTGCCAAATCCATGCTAAGAACCCTCACTATAAAGCACCAATGATTTTGAAGGTAATGGCATTTCCTGTAATTCTGTAACTAGGAAGAATGGAAGACCACCAATGCTTGTCTTCCTCCTGCCACCAATTCCGAAGACCATCTATGGGCTAGTTGAGGGACAGGGAGCTAGGTGTAGAGGCCTCTGTGAGTACCCTCAGAACCAACTCCAGAGGGATAGATGTGGCACCTGCCCTGACCATGAGGTCATGGGTATCTGGGCCCTCCACCAGAAGAGGCTCCTTTGAAATGCAAGAATGAAAGGTAGAAGGGCAAAGTGGGGCTAGAGACTCCCCTACTCTGCACCTCAAACCATAGTCTCCTCCTTACAGGCTGAGCAGTAACCCCCAGGGATCCCCATTCTGCAAACAAGCTCCATCCTCACTCCATTTAGGGTAAGGTGGAGGTGGTTATATGTCAATTCCAGGAGAAAGAAAAACACCTCTCACATTCCTAAAATAAATACTTCCCTGCAATCTTGCATTGAAGTCCTGTTTTCCATTGAGTTTAGAGGACCCAGACTGTCCTGTCTGATTGTCCACAGGCATCAAAAGTTCTCATCATCGTTATTCATTTCTCTTTCTTGCAAGGCTATTCAGACAGACCTGGGCCTTGGGAAACCAACTTCCAATAAACTTCTGGGGGTTTGTTTTACTCCCATGCTTCACCCACACATACATACCTCTGTGCCAGGGTAATGTGTCCAGAGGATCATACTTTCCACCCAAAGAAAGGAAAACTGATCCCCCCAAGGCCATGTCTTTCCACACTCACCCCCTACACGGATAACACCCCTCTACAGGAATGATCCATCACCCTCAGGCACAGTGTACACCGTTTTCACAAATTTAGCCTCACCTCTGGCCAGGTTCTCGATATCTTTCTCCACCAGCTGAGTTCCTGTGACATCCAAGGTAAGCCCATCTTCGCCTGGGATACAAGGGCAGATAAGAGGGGTTCTGTCCTGGGAGAGCCCTTGAGAGGGGAGGGGTGGGCTTCTCAGGAACCACATGGAGTCAGGGACCTACCCTAGACCCTCTGCCTTTAGAGGAGACAGTTACAGGCATCCGGTACTACCCACCTTCTAAGACATCATGGTAGGGAGTAGAAGAGTGACCCCTGGAGGAGACGGCCCAGGGAAGATGGGCCATCTAAGGGCAGGAAGTGCCCTTTGACCTATTTTATGTGGGTGAGGACGTCCCTCCATTTCCTTTCAGTACATCCTCTGCCCTTACCTGAAAAAACCTCAAATACATCAAGGAGGCAGAAAACCTGGCCTGCACCCTGCTCGCATTAAATATTTATCTGCTCGCCGAGGAAGAAAACTGGCAGCCACTTACACTTGATTAAAAACCTTTCTCGCAAGCCTCTGGGAACGTGGGCGACCTGGGTCCCAGCTCCCGGGTGCGGTGGGGAGCGATGGGTTCAAGGGTTGGCTCACCTCTGTCTGTATTTGCAGGACTTGGCTGGGAGATACTCCTTTGGTCTGGATAGGATTTCCTCGTTTCCAAATCATCGGCGGGCGAGTGATTGTCTTCTTTATCTGGCTCTTGAAGGCAATAAACCGAGTTTCAAGGAGAGGCAAAGAAACCGTGACCCCGATACTGCCGGAGCTGCCGCGGTCGGGGCACCCGAGCCCTAATTAAAAGCGTCGTGGCCGCCTCTGGTTCCCGGCTGTGCGCCCAGGCGCGCGCCCTGAGGCTTTGGGCCGGGCACCCCCACTCCGACCCCCGCGCGTGGTCTGCTCATCTCCGGGCTTCACGCCCCCGCCCCAGCCCCTTGGAAAAGAGCAAGATCAGCAGCCGAGCCCACCAGGGACCAGCGACCTACATCGCGCGCAGATACTGGGGCACCGCGAGCGCGCGTGGCCGCCCGGTCTGTCCGCGCGACTCTTGCCGAGAACGCGACCCAGGCTGCGACCTTCGGGGTGGGTAGGGGGACATCGTCCGGGGTTCGGCTGCCTCGATCTGCCCGAATTTCCGCGGCCCCCAACCCCTCCTCTGCGAGGAACCTGGTAAGGCGCGCAAGTGCAGGGCGGCCCCCACCACCCAGCGTTGGGCCTCAGCTACCCTGGCGCTTCTGGGGTACCCAAGCGCGCGGCCATGTGCCCCCATCCTCCGCCCGCATCCGGCCTAGCCAAAGGGGACTCCGCGGCTAAACACACTTGCTGAATAAATGAGAGGCCTTGCAGGGGTGTCGGGCGTGATTTTGTTAAGGGTTTAACTCCGTGTCTGGGTGTACTGCAGCATGTGTGTGCGCGTGGTGCAGAGGGCGTGTTGTCATTGTTGTTTTTAAGTAACCAAAGGTTGAAAGTTGTTGGGAGTATTAGCTTAGCTTCCTTGTTTTCATTATTTTTCTTTCCCTCTCCCTCTTTCTCTGCGTCTCTCTCCTTGTCTTTCTTAACAGGCTTTCCTTGACCCCGGCCCTCTGTCTGCGGTCCCCCCATTACAGTGGCCAGCGG